TCCCACCCCTGACAGGTGGGATGTAGCTGGATGGTGGGGTCAGAGAGGTGTCTTGGGCGCCTCTCAGGTGGGGCCAGAAAATGGTGAGTTTTGCTTTGAGTGGTGTCTCTGGGATGGGGCTTAAGGTGGGAGGAGCCAAGTGAACCAGAGTTGGTTCACTGTGTAGACAGGGGAAGGGAGAAAAATCAATGTGTGGTTGCCTCTGGTGTGCCCCAGACCGGGGAGCTGGCACACAATCCAGGCATGTGCCCTGGCTAGGAATCGAACGGGCTATCCTTTAGTTTCCAGTCCGGTACTCAATCCACTGAGCCAAGCCAGTCAAGGCTCTTTTGGTTTTGATTGGTAGGATATAGCTATAGCTGGAGAGGGAGAGGCCAGAGGAGTGGGTGGTCCCAGGGGCTGAAGTGGGAGGAGCCTGAGAGTTGGAGTCCGGTCTCAGGTAGATGGCCCTCTCCTTGTCCTCCAGCAAGAAGCGCAGCTCCCTCTTCCGCAAGATCACGAAGCAGTCGAATTTGCTGCATACTAGCCGCTCCTTGTCTTCGCTGAACCGCTCGCTGTCGTCCAGTGACAGCCTCCCAGGCTCGCCCACCCACGGGCTACCAGCACGCTCACCCACCCACAGCTACCGCTCCACACCCGACTCCGCCTACCTAGGTAAGCTTTCTGCCCAGGCTGGGCCAAGCACTGGGTGGCAGGGGACGGGTCCCCTGGAGGTTTTTGCTGTGTGCAACACCCCCTCTGCCCCATCCACAGGTGCCTCATCCCAAAGCAGCTCGCCAGCCTCGAGCACGCCTAACTCGCCGGCATCGTCTGCATCGCACCACATCCGGCCCAGCACGCTGCACGGCCTGTCACCGAAACTGCACCGCCAGTACCGCTCCGCGCGATGCAAGTCAGCTGGCAACATCCCGCTGTCGCCGCTGGCACACACTCCATCCCCCACGCAGGCATCCCCGCCGCCGCTGCCTGGCCACACGGTGGGCAGCTCGCACACAACGCAGAGCTTCCCGGCCAAGCTGCACTCCTCGCCACCGGTGGTGCGCCCGCGCCCCAAGAGTGCGGAACCCCCGCGTTCGCCACTTCTCAAGCGCGTGCAGTCCGCAGAGAAGCTGGGAGCCTCGCTTGGGGCCGACAAGAAGGGCGCGCTGCGCAAACATAGCCTCGAGGTGGGCCACCCTGATTTCCGTAAGGAATTCCATGGTGAGCTGGCGTTGCATAGCTTGGCAGAGTCTGATGGCGAGACGCCCCCTATCGAGGGGCCTGGTGTGACCCGGCAGGTCGCAGTCCGTCGCCTGGGCCGCCAGGAATCGCCCCTCAGCCTGGGTGTGGACCCGCTGCTTCCTGAGGGCGCCCTCCCCAGTAAAGAGGAATCCCCTGGTGGTGCAGAAGGCTCTACCCAGGCCCGTACAATGACTCCAGGGGGCCGGACCCTGGAACGGGACCCCAGCGGCACTCGGCACCAGAGTGTGCAGACCGAGGATGGCGTGGGTGGGGCAGCCAGGACCGTCGCCAAGGCCACACTGAGCCCGGTACAAGAACATGAAACCGGCCGGCGCAGCAGCTCGGGTGAGGTGGGCACGCCCCCAGTGCCCATCGTTGTAGAGCCTGAGCGGCCTGGGGCCAAGGTGCAGGTGCCTCAGCCTTCAGTCTCGGACTCTAAAGGGTTGCAGGGACCCACATCCCTAGCACCTCCCCCACCAGAGGCCCCCCGAGACCCAGAACGCTGGGTGCTGGAGGTGGTCCAGGAGCAGACCACGCTGAGCAGGCCTTGCTCCAAGCACACCTCCCCCAAGCTCAGCCCGGACCCCCAGATTTCTTCTCTAGCCCCTGTGAAGAGTGCACCAAGCAGCACAGGGCCCCCAGCCTCACCTGCTCCCCTTCTTGTCCCGGCTACCAAACCCGAGGTGGGGCTGACTCCCAGGTACACTGCTGAAGCTGTGCCTGCAGCAGACCTGACCAAAAGGGCGTCCTGTCCCACGCCCCCTGGCCCATAGCGGAGGGGGCCACTGGCCCTGCACTGTACAGCCAACTATACATATGTACACATATAAATAAAGTGCGTCCATACTTCGTGAGCTTTCTGGGGCTTGCCTCTCCTCCCCTGGCAAGGCAAGGTTTCAGCCCCCCTGTCTGTCTGCTTGTGGGGTGGTGGATCTCATCTTAAGTTACCATAGAGAGGGGAGGTGAGTCTTACGTGGACCTTTCCTTGTGGTCCCCTCATGAGCCAGCAGCCCCCAGACCCTCAAGCTACAATGCTGCCCTGAGGCCCAGTGCCTGCCTGAAAAAAAGGTTAACAGCTCCATCTACCAGTTTCCTTTTATTCCTCACAAATCCTGAGTTAAGTGTTGTGGTTCCTATTTTGCAAATAAGTAGACTGAGTCACGGGTTAAGGCACATAATTAAGGCCACACAATTAGGAACAGACTAAACTGGTATTTAAACGGATGTCCAAGTTGGCTCCTAAACCTTAATTCCTACATGTTCTGCTGGGCTGCCCGGAGACAGGGTACTGCTCTCCTCCCCACAGGGTTCCCAGGCCTTCACCAGAGGCTGGAAGGCCTTCCAGAAGGCAGGCAGCTGGGTACACACTGTGCCCCCACCTCGATGCATCTCTCCAGAGTTTCGATTCATGTCACCCACACAGGCCCAGGGCCCTTCTGGGGCTACACACCACTTGGAGTGGTCTTGTGTGGTACTGAAGTTGCACCCAGCTGGCCCAGGGAAGGCTATCTGGGTCACGTCAAGCACTTGCTGGGCTCCGGAGCAGTTGGAGGGCAGGATGCCACCAGAGTGTTGCCAGAACTGGACCTGCAGGTTGCTGCCAAGGGCTTCTGCCAGCCAGCCAGAGTACAGGTCTGCAGAGGATAGAAAGAGGGGAGGCATGGACAGGGTCAGGGTCAGTGCTGAGGAATCCCCAGGCTGCTGCCCTGCTCTGAGCTCAACCTCCTGAGGAACACCAGATTTAGCACCGACAGCCTTCACTAAATACTTTATATGCATCACCTCACTCGCAACAGCCCTGTACGGGAGATAAGAGTACATCCACTGCTTCAGGTGGGGTAAACTGAAAGTCCAGTTAAATTATGCACCATATGACCAGAAACCAGCTAAACCCAGGTCTTTTGGTTCTCTGTCTACCTCTCATGTGTTTATGGCTCTGAAAGTGTTCAAGTTCCTATCTCTGACCTGCCTTCAGCCATGGGCGCACCTGACACTACCTCTGCAGAGAAAGACTTCTTTAACCCACGACCTCAGGGCTCACCATCTCCAAACTTTCCAAATTTGGCAAAGCTCTGGAAGGCGGCCCCTGCCTTCGATGTGAGTGTTACACTGCTGTTCCAGGGTTCCTGGTGAACATGGTAGCCCTCGACCACTTCCTTCAGGTTGGGTAATTTCTTGATGAAGACCCCTTCCAGCTTGTGGTCATACACCTGGGGGTAGGTGTAGCTCAGCTGTCTGCCTGGAGGGCAAGAGGAGGAGAAAATGAAGGACAGTTCCACAGTCTGGTCTGGGAATCAGAATCACCCTGCCTCCTTGTCCCCACTTACCAATCTTTGAGAACTGGTCGAAGGAAAAAGACATGCAGAGCAGGGTCTGCCCATATTTTTGGGCCTCAAAAGGCCAACTGTATGCAGCACTTGTTGGAAAACCAGGAACACTGTGGACCAGCCAGAAGCCCCCTTCTTCATCCAGAAGCAGCACACCTGAATCCAAAGCCTGGATCAGGGAGCTGCTCAGGGCATCCCCAACAAACACACGTGCAACCACAAACATCCTCATTTTGCAGGGAGCTTGGAGAGGGTGTGGGCAGTGTCTGGACAACTGCTTAATTCTTTCTACAGCCCTCCATCATCACAGTCCAGAGAAAGGATAATATTTATAAAAGGTGAGGAGTTCCCTTCCCACCCCTGCAGGTCAGGAGTTAGTTAGCTGGGGAAAATGCAAAAGGAAACCAGGGCTCTTCCTCAGCCTCCAATTCCAGACTCACCCTTCGTGTGCCCCCGGCTAGAAGAGTTCTTGGTCCTGTAGTCAGCAGGCGGTTGGTCATTGTAAAGTAGATAGGCTAACTGGGGAGGATGGACAGGGCAATGTGAAGTCGTTCCCCCAGGCCCGGCCCTCCCCAGAGTCCCAGCCCCGGTTCTGCCGGCACCTCGACCCCTTCACCTGGCTGGTGTTCCTGTACAGCGGCAGCAAGGTGCGGCCTACGGCTCCCTCCGAGCTGTCGATGGACCTCGCGCCTTCGCGCCAGCCTCCTGAGCCCTCATCCAAGTAATTGTACTGCAACCCCGTTTGAGCCCCATCCACCGGCCCGCTGTGGGCCGGCAGCTTGTAGACGACGAACCTGGAGGTTGGGGAATGGACAGAAATGGAGCAAGGGGAAGTTACAGCTTTTCCCAGGAGCAAAGCAATCCCCAGTCCGGCTCCGGGGGATGCGGCGCCTGCGCACTCACCAGTCCACAGGCAGCCCCGAGTCACCGTAGCAGCTCAGAGTCCCTGCAGGAACCCATAGAAGTGCTGCCAGGAGCAGCGGGCTCAATGCGGCCATGGGGCTGGAGGAAAGGAATCAGTGTTGGGACCGCGGAGAGCTAGGTCACGAGTTGAGTCAGGCTGGTTCCGTGGTGACTTTCATTTCCCCAAACCCTTCTAGGACCCTAAGGCGGAACCCCATCGGATGGAAACTCCACCCCCGAGGTAAGAAGCAGTGATTTGAAAAGATCGCGGATCCTCCGAGCGCGGGGCTTCCTTTTGGGTTGTCACTCCCCGTAGGTACCGCCCCCACCCGGCTCGCCTAGGGTTGCTTCCTACTTCCAGTGGATTTGACCCTTGATAAGCTCCACCCTCTGACTTGACCCAGACCACTCCCTTTTATACCCAAGCAGTTTCTCCACCCCACCCCCTTGTCCCGCCTCCGTCTCTTCTCCAATCACCGCTCTGCCTCTCCACTAGGCTCCGCCTCTGTCCCTTCAGATCCCGGCTATTCTTAATCCACTTTCCCGCCCGACCCTGCTCCTCCACCCGCCTCTAGGTGAGACGCAAATTTGGATTTTTTTCTCTCCAGCTTTCCCCGAGGTCCAGCTCGGGACTTTTGCTCTCTTAAGGGGTGTTTGTGCTCCTTGTCCTCTCCCTTTTCATTCTGCATGTTTCCCGGGTCGCCCCCTGAGCTAGCCAAGGGGTCACTTTGGATCATGGCACAGAGGAGGGTGCTGTGTTTCTGGGGTTGGGCTGAGGGCTCTTAAATGGAGGGAGACGACACCTGTGAATGTCCCTGAGTTTCAAGGTAGAAGGCAAGGAGGGTGTAGCCTGATTTTGGAGTAAGGGAGAAGGGGCAGCAAGGCCTGTAATACCCGAGGGGGGCTCAATGAAGTTTAGGAGATGAGTGTGAGGGTACATGCCACCCACCCTTCAAATCACCTCTGGACTTACAGCTTCCTCCCATCTTTCACACCCAAAATTCACAAAAGTCATGCCACAGTTGAAGCTTTATCCAGGAGGGGCATTGTTATTGTTACAGGACCCATAACCATTCACAGCCACTCTGCGGAGCTTCAGAAGTTTGGGTGTCAAGCCCCCCTTCTCGACCCAGTGTCTCTGAGAAGCCCCGCTGCATAACCCCTTCCCACTGTCCAGGGCCTCCCGTGAGCTGGTCTGAGGGTCCAGCTTTTTAAGGGTGCGTCCCTGTCCGCAGTATCTGAGTGTCCAGCTGAGTCCATTTATTTGGAGGTCTGTCTCTCTGGGTCTGCATGACCCTAAGGAAGTCTCTGTGTGGCCCCTGTGGCTGGGGACTTGTGGGAGCTTCCGTCGGAGGCTGCCCCAGGTTTGTCTGTGGGCCAGCCCTTGGTCTTTCAGGAGGTCTGTAGGGCCGCGTGTCAGATGAGAGTCCATCCGAGGGAAAACCACCCTGTGTGGACCCTCTGTTGTTCCGTCCCCAGTTTCTGAGAAGGTACAAATTGGCAGGGGCAGGGGGCGTGGGGTAGCTCAAAGGTGACGCTTCATGTGCAAGGCCAGGTGATCGGAGCGTGAAAAAGCGCGCGGACAGAGCTGGCAGCGGAAGGGGCGCTGTCCGGTGTGTTTCCGGTAGTGGCGGGTCAGCTCGTCCGAGCGCGCGAACCGCCAGCCGCAGCCGTCCCACGTGCAGGCGTAAGGCTTCTCCCCTGGGAGGCGAGGAAGCTGTGAGTGCCATTGGCCGTCCCACCCCGCTCCCAGGCCGCCTCTGCATCGGTTGCACTCCCTTGCTCAGCCTTGACCTGCACTAGGGTGAGGCAAGTGAGGCGCCTCAAGTGTGAAGTTTAAGGAGGCACTCACTCTCAGGGGAATGCACCCAGGTCCCGCCCAACGTGGCCTCCACCCTTCTGGTTCTGCACTTGGCATTTGACGCCATCCTTGTTTTCGTTTCCTGGGCCCAAGTCACACCCCCTACACCACTGACCCGCTCTCTGTGCCCTGGTACCATGCCCCTGCATCCTAAAGCGTCCGACCCTCATCCCTTGGCCCTGTTCCCTATGGTTCAGCCCCGCCCTTGCTCCGGGGGACCCTCCAGCTGCTGCCCAACCCTGCCCCTCGCCTTGATCTTTACAGCCCCCAAATCCACCTGGTGTCCCAGGCCCTGCCTGCTGTGATTATGCTCTCCTCCTGCTACACCTGACCCCACCTTCATGCGGACCCCTAAAGCAGCGATTTTCAACCGGTGTGCTACAAGAATTTTTAAAAGATGCAATACCTGACTATTTTAGTTAGGGACACTGACTTCTTTTCCCTTAGACTGTCAAATACAAAAGAAAAAAAAAAAAAAGACAACCACCAAGACAGCAATAGCCGTTCGGGGTGAATACCCTGTCTTGAACCATAAATATGTAGGTTATATAATGGAGTTGCATCCTATTGGTGGCATAGTAAGCTCATGTCTGACACGTTAATTCCTGGTACCAGAAAACCTTAAAAGTACGGGTACCTGACTTTTAAAAAGTCATTTTGAAGCAAAAAGGGTGGGTTATTATTATTGTGTAAATCAATCCGAATTATACATATTTTTGTCAGATCCGCAAAAATATATATATTTTTTTGGTGTGCCACAGAATTTTAGTAATTCTAGTCTTTCCTCCATGAGATGAAAAAGCTTGAAAATTGCTGCCCTAAATCATAGGCCTCAGTCTTCCTTCTCCCCAGCTCCATTCCACGCCCCGCCTCGGTCTTCCTGTCCTTGAGACCCGGCTTTTCTTGTGGCCAGTCTTCTCTCTTTTCAAGCTATTTCCCCTTACCCTCCTGGAACCAACTCTGTATTCACCACATGAAACTGGTTCTGTCCTCATATCTTCCCTCCTGCACTCCAGACTTGGCCCTTACAGTCTGGCTCCGCCTCTATGCAAACAACCTACTCTATACATTCCTGGCTCCGGTCCCTGAGCCCCTAACTCTGCTTCCTGCTTGCTGCAAACCCGAACCCTGTGTCTTTGGCCAGGTCCCGGGCTTGCCTAGTTTGGCCCCTTCCTGCAGTCCCTCCTCTAGCCCCGCCCCTACACAGATTGCTCGGCTTTCTGCTGCTTAGCCCAGGCCTAGGTCTTACCCGTCAGATTTCCCAGTTCCTCGCTGCTCTCACTCGCCTCCCACATTGGTACCTGTTCCCTAGCCCCCGCTTCTGGGTCCAGGTCCGCTCCTAGCTGCTTCTGTCCCGCCCCTTTCTCTGATATTCAGCTTTAGCCCCACCCCTCCGTCACTACAGGTCCGTGTGTGTGGGGGGGGCGGCCTTAGCCTCTAGCCCCTCCCCTTGCTCTCCTTTCTGGCTCCCGGATCCCTCTGTCCTCCTGAGGTCCCGCCTCCGAGCCGAGCCCCTCTGCCTCACCCGTGTGCGTCCGTAGATGCGCCTTCAGGTGTGAGCTCTTGGTGTAGCTCTTTCCGCAGCCCGGGTGAGTGCACGTGTGCGCCGCCTGCCTCCTTCGGGTCCAGGAGCGCCGGCTGCGCTTGGATGACGCGGTCTCCGCGGTTTCTCTTGAATCTCCTGCGGTTACCCCGAGTCCTGCACCCGATGTTCCGGGTCCCAGACAATCCAGGAACGAGGGGGAAGCGGCGGGGCTGGATGCAGGCGTTGGGAGCCCGCGGAAGAGCTGGAAGTGACCTTGGTACTGCTGGGCCGGGTACAGCGTTGGGTACCCGGACAGCAGCCCGTAGGGGGAGCCAGGCGCCGCAGGCACTGAAAGCCCGGTCCGCGGAAAGTAGCTGCCGGAGGAGCTCACACCCGGCCCCGAGTACACCGGCTGCAGAGGCAGCGCCTTGGGCTCAGGGGTCGGGACCAGGGCTGGGCTCACGAAGGAGTCAGGGGCTGGGGCTCTTGGAGCTGGGCGCGCCCAGCCCGGGTGCTCCTCGGGACTTAAGAGCCCAGGCACCAGCCCCGGGCCGCCCCCGTGCGCGCCCAGGGTCTCAGGCTGAGGTGGGAATTGCGTCCCGGGACCTTCGCCCGGTGCCAGAGCGCAGGTCTGAAGCACACCGCTCAGCTCTGGGCCTGGCAGGTTGGTGAAGAAGAGATCCAAGTCCCAGGCAGGGGCCGCGTCCCTATGGTCGTCCTCTTTCTCCCCAGGCGCGTCCTCCAACTTGGGCCTCACATGGAGGAGCGGCCGGGTGGGGTCCGGGGGACCCGGGCCCAAGCCCTGCACCTCCTCAAAGCGCCACCACTGCGGGAGAGAGCCGGGAGCGTGAGGCTTCCGTGGTCACCAGGGTACCCGGCACAGAGGCTCCCGAAAGGGGTCTTTTTGCTTGTGTGTGATGTCTGCCTGTTCCAGTCCCTTACACTGCCCTCTGTCCCCCCGCCTCCCCTCCACAGCTTCAGGGACAGAGGTTGATAGGGTCTGGCTGGCAACAGAAGATAAGACGTACATTATCTTGAGCCGAACTCAGGCATGGGGGAAGGGGTGGCAAAGCCAAGAATGGAAGGCAGGGGGTGTGGGTGGGCAATCTTGCCTCAATTTCTCCCCAGAAACTCCAATTCCTTCCCAGTCCCCCAACAAGATTAACTCCCAAGATGAATTCTTGGGAGTCCCCTAGAAACATTTGTTCTTCCTCAACCTTTCTGGGGTTGTCTCACTCAGCCTAGACCCCCCCCCCACACACACACACATACACACGGTGTTCAGCTTTGAGCCTCAGTTTTCTGTGACAGAAATGGGCCTTTAGATCATGTTCAGACCCCTGGACCAGGCTGAGGACCCCCAGGTCTGGTCAGGTCTTTGGATTCCTGGGCTAGGTGCAGACCTGATCCCTAAAGCTCTGTGACTGCAGCCACAGACCCCAGCCAGCCACCTAGACCCTGCCTGGCCTCACCTTGAGGAAGTCTTCTGGTGTGTCTGGAAAGGGGCCTAGGGCGGTCAGCGTACTGATGGACGGCAAGGTGGTGTCAGCTGTGGCCATGGCTGGCTGGTGCCCACTCAAGGGCCTCAGGCCTCCTCTCCCTCTGTGGCCTCGTGGGTTCTGAGGCTCCAATGGCCCTGTGGAGGGCTCCTCTTTGTCCTCGGCTGATTGGCTGCAGCCCCTGATAAGGGTCAGGCAACTCAGGGAGGGGGGGTCACCATTTCTGGGGAACAGACCTTGCCTTGGCCTGTTTGGGGTAGAGCCTTGAAGACTGACCCTGTATCCAAAAGCCAGTCAATTGTTTGGGGGCTGGGGGCTCAGTGATTTGGGGGTTCAGGTGTTGGATAAAGTGAAGCACTGGCTTCCCAAAGAAGGAGAGACTTGGGCCTTCTCTAAATTACCCACCTGGAGAAGGGGCAACAGACAGAATGGGGATTCTGAGAAGGGGCTTCTAGATCTCCTTCTCCCTCAACTGGGGACCTTACCCCCCAGAACGGAAACAATCCCCCTCCCCTTCCCCCAAAAAACAAGGAAAAAAAACCCAGAAACAACCATGCTGATGGCGGGACTTGGCACAAGCTCCCTGCCAGGCCAAGCATTATCAGAGGCCCCAGACATTGGAGGCTGCTATCAGGTGGGGGCCCAGAGCAGCTAAAGTTCTGTCTCTGGTGAGTGGCAGGGCTAGAAGCTGGGGCTTCACTTTAGCTTGGCTTGAAATTACCAGGGTTATGAACTCTCAGGGTCTGACCCCAGTGGCAGGAAGAACTCCTGTTAATCAGCCTCCACTGTCTACCTTGGACCCCCCAGGGGGATTGCAGAGAGTGGGGCTTTGTGAAGGTTGAGGCCAGTTGCCACTGCAGCTGGGTTTTGGGAGAAGTTGGCCCCGTCACCTGGATGGAGTGGAACCATTGGAACGAACTAGAGGAAGTACCCGAACTGCAGGAGACCCACACTAGCCCTCCCTGGACCCTGCTGCTGCCTGACTCCTGACCCACATGGGGGCGGGATCCAAGTTGCTGCCCCAGGGACCTCCACTGTGGTGCCCTGAGAGCCAGGGTGGGGGCAACATGGACACAGATCACACACATATAGTTCACACATACATATACTGTATGCAACTACACAGTGACTAAATCCTGGTCACCTCAGCCACACCGACCATGCCGCCCCTGCACACAGTTGTCTCTGTGCATCACGTAAACCATGCGGCCAGGAAGACACAACCATATCCTATTTGGTTACACAATGTTGTAGTCACACGATTCCTTAGACATAGAATCCATAATCACATAGGTGCTGACACAATCACAGTTACCCAGTCACATGCAATCATACAGTCACACGGACATGATTCAGCTACAACTAAACATATACATGGAGGTTCCTGGATTTGTTGTCACAAAACTATAGGAGATGTAGTCACACAATCTTGTCAAATGCAGGCAGCCTCAGACACAAAGGCATAAAACCCAGGTGCACACAACCATTCACAAACACACGATGTAGTCACGCACACAGCTAACATCAAACACAGACACAATCATGCACAGTGCCATATGAATTCTATACCGTTTTGTGGTCACATCACCTGTCACCGTCTGTTTGTTCTGTCACACAATTGCACAAATACCAATGTCCAACCATAGGGGGCGCACTCATCCAAACGCAGACAACCACAGCAACGTGGAAAATTAAACACCCTGTTAGGGAAAGACACAACCTCGCCCAGACACAGACACATCACCATGGACACAATGGAAATTAGTATGCCAGAAATGCATCACAAAAAAAGACAAAATTATCCTTTACAACATGAGGGGTGGGGACGAAAAGGAATGTAAAAGCCAAAGATTATATTAAAAAAAAAGCTCTTCAAACCAAGGATGACAATAAGGGGGGAAAATGGAATATAACAATTGTTGTCAAGGATGTGGAGAAGTTGGAACTCTAGTATACTGCTGGTCAGAATATAAAATGGTGTAGCTACTGTGGAGAGCAGTTTGATGATTCTTCAAATTCTTAGACCATATGACCCACCAGTACCACTTCTGGGTATATGCTCAAGATCTGAAAACAGGGGCTCAAACAAACACTTGTGCACCAATGTTTACGGCAGCATTATTCACAATTGCCAAAAGGTGGGAACAGCCGAAATGTCTGTTCTCAGATGAGTGGATAAACAAAATGTGGTCAGTTCATACAAAGGATATATTATTCAGCCATAGAAGGGATGAAGTTATAATCCATGTTACAATGTAGTTGAACCTCCAAAACAAGTGAAAGAAGCCAGTCACAAAAGGCAAAAAGTTACATATTACATGATTCTATTTATATGAAATATCCAGAATGGGAAAATCTATATATAGAGAATTAGTGATTAGCAGGGGTTAGGAGGAGAGGGGAATGGGGACTGACTGCCGATGGGTACAAGGTCTCCTTTTGGGATGAGGGAATATTCTGGAACTAGAGAGAGGTGGTGGTTGCATAACATTGTGAGTGTGCCCAATGCCACTCAGCAGTACACTTTAAATGGCTCATTTCATATTATGAATTTTACTTCAATAAAACAAAATGGCTGGAATTAAAGTGGTTTTTCTGGAGAGGAAAGCAAAGTCTCCTTTAGGGTGAGATCTCTTTGGTTTAGGACAAAGCACTAAACAGGCATATTTGGCTCTGAAAGATGAGGCAAGAGAGTAGGTCTAGAGAAAAAGAGGCATTTGGCTGGGAGATAAGGCCTCTTACCTGATGTGGCCAGTAGGAATTATGAACTGAAGGACAGCAAGGCTGGAGCCTATATTTGGGTTGCTCCCTGGGCCTAGAGAACTTCAGCACTTATAACAGCTCTAGGGCAGGGAGCTTTGGAGGAAAGGAGAGAAGGTCCTGGCTCCTTCTCTCCTTTCCTGGCTCCTGGGAGAGAGAGATGAAGGATAAGAGCTATTCAAAATCCCAAATGTTTCAGAGTGGTGATGGACTGCCTGCTATGTGAGGAAGAAGATTCGAACCATTTTATTTTGATATTAAGGACATTAAGGGCCCAGAAAATGGGAGAGTCCAGGGACACCCAGGCCCCAGGTACCCAGGGACCTGCAGGCCTGTGATCACATTCAGACACAATCCCACAGTTACTACCATCACACCCAGAGGCGGAGCATGTGACACACTACGCTACCCAGAGTGTCTCTCTGGGAAGAAGTGTTCCTAGGTGGGCAAGGACCTGGCCTGGGAACTGGGAGGCCTGGACCCCAGTCCAGGCCCCCGCTCTGCACCTAGCCTACTGTGACCAGATTGGTTGTGTTTTCTGCACCTTACTTTCCCCAAATGGCAGCAATGGGCAGGACTCAAGATACATGGTTAAGCATGATGCGCCCAGATAAATGAAAATTACACAGATGTTTTTTTTCTTTATCCTCATCCGAGAACAATTTCTCATTGCTTGTAGAGAGAGGAAGCAGGGCAGAGAGAGAGAAAGATATGAGAAACACTGATTGGTTGTCTTCTAATGTGTGCCCCAACTGGGGATCAAACCCACAATCTAGGTATGTGATCTGATGGGGAATCGAACCTGAGACCTTTTGGTCTACAGGACAATGTTTCAACCAACTGAGCCACACCATCCAGGGCCACAAATGTTTTTAAAAGTGACCCAGCTAAGTAAGCCACTCTCTCAGGCACATGTCAAATTAGGTACATAATTAAAACTGCTCACAGAGCAAAAGACACTGACACATATATACACAATCACAGACATAAATATGTATTTAGTCATACCACAATGATAACACACATGCCTAGAGAGAAAACCACCAAGACAGTCATACAGTACTATACGAACACACAATCACACAAAATACCATTATACAGGCTTACAATTACACAGACAAGAAACTACAAAAACATTCAGCCACACAGACATGACGGAGACAGTTACACAACCACCCACAGTCAACAGTCCCAAATGTCAGGTGTAGTCACAGGTGTAGTCAGTCCCACTCGCATACAGATACACAGTCACTCAGGCACAATAGCACACATAGATGCACAGAATCACATAGGACCAGGAATCACACCAATTCACACTGTCACATGCCGCTACCCGTGCTTCTTGAGACAGGCTAGCAGACAGGCTGGGCTGAGATGGTCCACCAGAGCCCACCTCCTCCTCCTCAAACACACAGCACCCCATTAGAGGAGACTTCCAGGTCTGGACTCATTTTTCGCCTGCCTCAGTTTTCTCATTTAACTCCAGAATCCCTTCGCACACGCCTCCTGCAACTGACCAACCAAAAGTGGGCCGAGCCCCCTCTAGGGCCAACCAGAGCAGCAATACAGATCCCTCCGTCTCTGTCTCTCTCTGCCGCCCCGCCCTCCGCCCCGCCCCCAGTTCCACTGCCCCGCTTCCGCTTTTCCCTGTTCTGCTCCTTTAAGGGGCGAACATTTCTCCGCCCAGGTCCTCCAGCTTCCTTCCCCAAGCCTGCCATCGGCCTTTTAAAATGCAAACCTGAGAAGGAGCCGGGTTTAGGACGAACCAATGAGAGGTTTTGTTTGGCCCCCGCCCCTCCCACCCAGGTCATTGGTCAAAAGCCTGTGTCTGTCGCGTCGTAGCCTTGAGGGAAGCGGGAAGGCACTTAGTGGGATCCGGCGAGAGGGGAGCGAGGGGCTTGGACTGCGTGTGGGGAGGAGCCACTCCACTTTGAGGTCCCCACTCCTCCAGGTCGGCCGCGGTTGCTGCGTTCGCCCGCCCACATGGCCCTGAGAGGCATCTCCTTGCGGCTGCTAAGTCGCGGACCCCTCCAGGTCTTCCTGCGCACTTGGGGCTCGGCGGCGGCGCAGACTGGTCAGTGTTGGGGCGGGGGTAGGGTGAGGAGGGTGGAAGTGGAGCCTCGGGGACTTTTCCTAGGTGATTTTCTCTTCCTGTGTTTGCAGAAAAGGGCGGGAAGACACAGAACCGACCCGCCAAATGTAAGGACCCCTCGTCACGCGTGCGTCTGAGGCCCTTGGCCTGCTGTCTGCCGGCCCTGGGTGGGCTTGCTCCCTGAGTCCGAGGGCTGCCGGGGGAACGAGCAGGGCCGGAAGCGGAGTCAACAGAGACTTTCCCGGAGAAAGGCCTCTTTACCAGTCCTGTTTGCAACCACATTCAACCCTGAGCCAGATGTGGGTGGAGGATTCTGGGAGAGGAGGGCGCGGTGGGCTGAGGGAGGTGTGGGCCGCGCTGAGTTGAGCCCTGCTCCTTGTCCCAGCCTTGCGTCCAGAGTTTGACTGGAGGGATCCGCTGGTGCTGGAGGAGCAGCTGACAGCTGATGAGATCCTCATCAGGGACACTTTTCACACCTACTGCCAGGAGCGCCTCATGCCCCGCATCCTGCTGGCCAATCGCAACGAAGGTGCTCAGGCGTGCTAGTGGGCACCCTCCAACCATACACACCGCCTCTGCCTGCTCTGGCCTCTGGACCTCTCTGTCCCTGGGGTAGGGGGCTCCAATGGGCTAGGACTGGGCCTGAACTTGGGCATCTGTCTTTGCAGTTTTTCACCGGGAGATCATCTCGGAGATGGGGGAGCTTGGTGTTCTGGGCCCCACTATCAAAGGTAGGGACAAGTTTATCTCCATTCTCTGCAGCCATTCTCTGCAGCCCCAGTTATGTGCTGGAAAGCCCCTCCATTTCCCTGAGCCTGGGTTTCCAGTCTGTAAAGTGAGGCTGTTACCCCTCTGTCCCATTATAGGAATGAAATGAATAAACCCTTAAGCTAGGGTTAGCTTGGTGCCCCCTCCTTGGGTAGCCCCTATGTATCTCTGTCTCTTGGGCCTCAGGAGTCACTGGTCCCCTGGGCAGGCTTTGTCCTCCATTGCCCTATCTTCCCACCCCCACTCCTCCACCAGGGTATGGCTGTGCTGGAGTCTCATCTGTGGCTTATGGGCTCCTGGCCCGGGAGCTGGAGCGAGTGGACAGTGGCTATAGGTCAGCGATGAGTGTCCAGTCTTCCCTTGTCATGCACCCCATCTATGCATATGGCAGTGAGGAGCAGAAGCAGAAGTACCTGCCCCGGCTGGGTGAGCAACTACCAGAGGAGCCTGGTGGAAGATAGTCACAGTGGTGTGAAACTTAGGGATGGGGCTGTCCCCTGAGCCTCCCTTCTGTCCCCCACTTCAAGAAGAGCACCAATGGCCACCTGGACCCCCTGTCAGAGTCTGGTTTTCATCCCCTCCTAACTCACCCTTGACAAGATCTCTCTGGCCCTCTTTCTTTCTTTCTTTCTTTCTTTCTTTCTTTCTTTCTTTCTTTCTTTCTTTCTTTCTTTCTTTCTTTCTTTCTTTCTTTCTTTCTTTATTTCATTTATTTTCAGAGAGAGAGGAAGGGAGGGAGAGAAACATCAATGTGTTGTTGTCTCTCATGTGCCCTGTACTGGGTACCTGGCCCTCGTCCCAGGCATGTGTCCTGACTGGGAATGGAACTAGAGATCCTCTGGTTCACAGGCTGGTGCTCAGTCCACTGAGCCACACCAGCCAGGGCATCTCTGGCTCTTTCTCAACACCGTCACCTCCCTATCTCCCTCTTGATTTGCTTTCTGTCTCTTCCATCCCAACCCAGAGTTTAAAGTCTTAACTTCCTGGTTGGGTCCCAGAGGCCTCTGGTGACCTTTCAACCTCATCTATGGTCACTCTCTTGACTGCTCTGCTCTAGTCAGACTCAGCTACTTGGAATTCTCTAAATGTACCACTGAGCCTTTGTACATACTTCCCCACTGCCAGGACTGCTCTTCCCTACACCTCCTCTTGTTTAGCTTTCACTGCTCTTCGAGGCAGTTTAGGTGACTCCTGTGGGGCCCTTTCCCTGTCATGGCATTGTGACTGTGGGTGGGGGGCACTGTCCCTTCATCACCTGCAAGTGCCGTGAGGGGAGGGCCAGATCTGCCTTAGCCCGGCTCAGTGGAGAGGGTGACACTTTTCAGTTGAGGGTATAAATGAGTGACAGGTAGACTCATGACCCTGTCTCATGCTTACAGCCAAAGGGGAGCTCCTGGGCTGCTTCGGGCTCACAGAGCCCAACCATGGGAGTGACCCTGGCAGCATGGAGACCAGAGCCCGCCATAACCGGTCCAGCAGGAGTTACACTCTCAGTGGGGCCAAGACTTGGTGAGGAGCCTGTTGCCTCAGGTGGGTGGGCAGGGGCAGAGGGCGGTAGCTAGACCCTCACTGCCTGTCCCGCCCCCAGGATCACCAACTCGCCTGTGGCCGACCTATTTGTAGTGTGGGCTCGGTGTGAAGATAACTGCATTCGGGGCTTCCTGCTGGAGAAGGAGATGCAGGGCCTCTCAGCCCCCAAGATTGAGGGCAAGTTCTCCCTGCGGGCCTCAGCCACCGGCATGATTATCATGGATGGTGTGGAGGTACCAGAGGAGAATGTGCTGCCCAATGCCTCCGGGCTGGCGGTGAGCAGAAGCCACTTTGGGAACTGGTGCTGGGTCATATGCTGATTCACCTTTCTTGGGCAGTCTCTGTGCTGGGGACCCAGCTGGGACAAGACAGACAAGGTCCCTGTGCACTGTCCCTTTCTAGTGACTATCACTCATACTGGCTCTGCTCAGGACTCATGGTACTGAACCACCTTAATCATTTGGTGCACACACCACTTCCTGTCTTCTTATGTCAGCCCCTAGACCTGTCTGTCAAGCCAGATCCCCAGCTGCGTGGAACTGTATGCAAACCAAGAGTGAGCAGGCACTGAGCAAAGCCTGCCTTGCATGAGCCATGTGTGATTTCAGTGGCCTCCCTGAGTCCCCCCTTTTACACTGACTCTGTGTCTGGGTGTCTGAGGAGGAGAATCCCCCTACTGCAGACCCTCTCAGCTCCTTCTGGATGGGGCTAAGGCCCCCCTGTCAATCCTATAGGGTCCCTTTGGCTGCCTAAACAATGCCCGGTATGGCATCTCCTGGGGCGTTCTTGGAGCTGCTGAGTTCTGTTTTCACACGGCCAGGCAGTACACTCTGGACAGGTGAGTGGGGGCTGCCCTGAGAGCCCCTGGGGGCATGGTGAGGCTCAGGTTCCACCCTTTAACCCATCGGTGACTCCCCAGCCCCCACCCACCAAACCTAAGCTCCCTGCTCTGTGAAATAGCAGGGAAGTCCTGAGCAGTGATGGGCTGAGTCAGTGACAAGCCAGGGTGTGCTATGCGGGGATTGAGGCAGCCTGGAAAGGCTTCCTGGGCCCATAAGGCCCTGGAGAGGACTGGGGGTTGAGCCCCCCTCACACACATACTTTAACTTATCCTGATTCTACCTGCCTAGGATGCAGTTTGGTGTCCCACTGGCCAGGAACCAGCTGATCCAGAAGAAGCTGGCGGACATGCTCACTGAGATCACGCTGGGCCTTCATGCTTGCCTGCAGCTTGGCCGCTTGAAGGATCAAGACAAGTAGGGGCCACTTGTAGGGGGAGGTAGAGGGGAACAGCTGCAGCAGGACGCTGTGCTTTTGGGCATGATGGTTGCTGGCCCTGAGAAGAAAGGCCCTTTCTGCCTCGTGGCCCTTGGGGTCCCAGTCCCTTTTCTTTCTCTTGGCCTCAGTGGGCCAGGACCCACCCTGCTAGTCCTTCATTTGGAACCTGGTATCTGCTGCTTTGACTGTAACATGGGAAATCCTCCCCGTGGCTGGTTTGCTTAGGGTGCAGGGATGCCTGGATGGGGTGAGTTCTTTGTAATCAACATTTGATACATGTCTGTGCTGCTTCAGGGTCACCCCAGAAATGGTCTCACTGCTGAAGAGGAATAACTGTGGGAAAGCTCTGGACATCGCCCGCCAGGCCCGAGACATGCTTGGGGGAAATGGGATTTCTGATGAGTATCATGTGATCCGACACGCTATGAACCTGGAGTCCGTGAACACCTACGAAGGTGGAGGCTGGGTCCTTCAGGGAATGGGGATGGTTACAACAGCCTTACTATCTGGAGAAGTGGGGCAGGGAGGAGGGTGGGGACAGCAGACCTGAGTCCTACTCCCAGCTGTTGCCACTGACAGCACAGCCAGAGGCAGGTTCCACCCTGCATCCCTCATCTGGAGTGGCTCACACTGGGCCTAGAAGGTGAGGCACTCTGTGGCCTTTCCTTCATGATGCCTGGGGTGGGGGGGGGTGTTCCCAAGCCTGCTGCTGGTTTCCTCAGAAAGCCCTAGAGTGGGGCATGATGCCCAGTGAGCTGGTGATGCCACATAGGCCACCCCATGTTGAGGGGGACAAAAAAGGAAAACATCATTTGCAGATTGTGGTACTTGCAGCTGGCAACTGGCTGTGATGCAAAAGGGGCCCAGAATCCATGGCCTTGTGGGAAAATAGATGTGGAAAAAGTGGGACCAAGTCCTTTGCAGTTCTAGAAGCTCCCTAGGCAGTGACAGTGAAATAGCTGCTGTGTGCTGTTCTGGATGGGACATTCCAGAAGCTGCAAGAGAGGAGGGGAGGGAGGAATCCTAAAGATGTGGGACCTCGAAGGTAAGAGGAGGGGGCCTTCAGATGGTTTTATGGAGAAAGAAGGGGTCAGGTGTGCACTTTAGAAAGTAAACAACCATGGCTGATGTGGCTCGGTGGACTGAGTGCCGGCCTGCGAACCAAAGGGTCGCTAGTTCCATTCCCAGTCAGGGCACATGCCTGGATTTCAGGCTAGGTCCCCTGAGAGGCAACCACACATTGACATTCCCCTCCTCTCCTTCACTTCCCCTCTCTCTAAAAATAAATAAAATCTTTTTAGAAAGAAAGTAAACAAGTATTTTGCTCTATATAAAAGGGAGGCAGTGATCTCTGCCTCATGCCCCTAGAAGATGAGGAAGAGCAAGTGAGAACACTGTGGCATATAGTGTTACCTAGACTCAAAGGTGTGGGGTGTGGGTAGGTGTCAGGACAGGGTGGCTCAGGTGTGCAAGCCAGTAAGTGGTGTTTGCCTACCCATCCCTCCTATCGATGAGAAAGGGCCTGATGTGTTTCCAGAGCCCACCAGGGCCCTCCACCACTGTGGGAAGGAAGCATGGCTGGGTTGAAAATCAAACGTTTAATGAACTATGCAGGGCTCGGGTAGAGTAAATTTGCCACATGCTGGGGACACCAAAGCTGGACCCATGATGGTGGCTGGACCTGCTGCCTTTGGGTATGGCCCAAGTTTGTTTTTGCCAAGATGCATTACAGAACTGTGAAAAACAATTTTCTCAGTGTGGCCAGAACAGTGGCCTCTGAGCCTTCTCTTGGTGGCTGTCACTAAGAGGTGACTGTCTCAGAAAGCTGTCAGCATTCACCATCTTTATGGGTATGTTCTTCCAAAGTAATAGCCTGAGGAGAGACATGAAGATTGACTTTAAAGGGAAGTTGTGAGCTGTTAAGACTCCAAACTGACTCTGCATTTCTCTTGTCCAGGTACTCATGACATTCACGCTCTAATCCTTGGAAGGGCAATCACAGGAATCCAGGCATTTACAGTCAGCAAGTGAACACACTTCCCCTGGGAGCCTGGATGGCGCTGAATCCCTTCCCAGGGAGCTGTGCTGCTCTGAGCTTACTCAGGGAGGTGGCAGATGGAGCCAATTTTTATGGTAGGAGGAGAGACACTGATTTTTGAATTTCAAAATTTCCCTTTTAAAATTACTGAAATGTGCTCCTTAAAAAGACTGGACTCCATACCAAGTTTCTCAATCTACTTTTAACCATGAATGGGAACGGACTCCACTTACCTTGGAACAGACGCTTCTCTTCACAGGGAGCAGGGAGAGGAAAGAGAGTAATACAGAAGCAACCTCTGTGAGACCTGATCTGGTGTCTGACCAAGCCACCCGCCTTGAGTTCCCTGGGTGCCCTCTGACCCTCCCATCTGGGGGATAAGTGCCTTATGCTGGACGTTGTGGCAGAATGAAGAGGAGAAAGAGAATAATAAAGAGCCTGCATGTCTGACCCTCAGTGTTGTGCCACATTTACTTGGGATCACTTGTGTAGTCCTTTGAGTCACAGGGAAAACAACACATGTAGGGGCTGTGAGGTGCTGAGACGTGGTGAGGATTCTTCCCCCTCCCCTCAGTGATCTAGCCCACGTCTGAGTCTTTGACTCTGCTGTAATAAATAAACCTGGTTAGGCATTGCCCAGGGTTGTGGACAGAGGGGACTTTGTCCTTTCTGTCACCACAGAGCTGGCCACACAGTGGGCTGGATTCTCAGCTCCAATATACCGTGTTACAGGGGAGCATGGAGCCACAAGCGAGATGGTGGGAGCACCCAGGGCTTCGTGGTGATAGTAGCCCCTGCGGGGCACTAACACCCTTGGTTTCTGTTAACATTTACTTTCATCTTAGCCCCTACAGCTCTCCTCACACAGTGCCCTCTGCGTGGGTTCAGTCATACCTCTGGCTGGACACATAGATCTTTGTACACAGTCTCCACAGTGTGGCACACTTGTTTGAGCTCTGTTTCCAAATGGCTGATCTTTGCCATTTTCTGAGTGAACTCTTGGAGCTTTTCCTGAATAATCTTGTTGTGGTGATTATAAAGCTGATACATCCTCTCTTCTAGTTTCTCCGTCAGGTCCGAAACCTTTTAAACAATAAGACATGTTCTTGGAAAATCAAACTAGAGGCATCACAAGACATGTTTTAAGTGGCTCCCTAAGATTTCTGCAGTTTATCATACAAAAATGGTAAAAACAACTCCAATGACTGGGAGTGAAATTGCCTACATTAAAAAAAATTTTTTAAGCAAGATTGCAAAATTATATATACATTATATGCTCCACCAGGTTAGGAAGTAAGTACATAACAGAGATTAGAATAAAACATGCAACAAAGTAGCCTCTGGGTGGTGGGATCATAGGAATGTTTTTATATTTTTTTGTGCTGTTATACTTTATTTGACTTTCTATGCTGTGTGTACTGGTAGGGATGGGAGAGAGAGAAAGAAGGGGCAAGTCAGCCTATTTTCAAGAGATGTCCCACTCATGGGATCTCTTGTGTATTCTGATGAAGCGTTAGGGACAATCATTAACACTGGACATGAACATAACATCAGGCTTTGCTAGACAAAAGTCCCGGTCATGTCAAGGGACCCCTAATCTCCCACCACAAACCATTCAGCTTCTGGAGGATAAATGGCTGTATTAATGTGGACTATGCTTCAACCCCCTACTCCCATAGCCATTAGTCCTGGTGTGTAATTAGGAGGCTGGGCTGTGGATGCAGATGGACCTTGGTCCCTCATTCTGCCTCTCTCATTCAGGCAATATATTTTTTAAAATATTTTATTTATTTATTTTTAGAGAGGGGAAGGGAGAAAGAGAGGGAGAGAAACATCCCTGTGTAGTTGCCTCTCGTGTGCCCCCTACTGGGGACCTGGCCCACAACCCAGGCATATGCCCTAGACTGGGAATTGAACTGGCAACCCTTTGGTTTGCAGGCCGGCACTCAATCCACTGAGCCACACTAACCAGGGTTGGCAAATTATTATTTTTTTAATTGATTTTTAGGGAGAGAGAGAAACATTGATTTTTTTCCCACTTATTTATGTAGTCACTGGTGCTTCTTTTATTGCCCTGACTGGAGACTGAACCCCAACCTTGGTTATTGGGATGATGCTCTAACCATTTGGGCTACCTGGCCAGGGCAAATTATTTCTAAACCCTACTTTTCCCATCTGTAAAATGGGTCCGTTCTTTGCAGTACTGTTGGAAAGGTGAAATGAGGTACTACATGCAAATTGCCATGCTAGGAACAAAAGATGCTCAACAATGGTTCATTCCCTATGCCCTTCACCTTTAACATAAGGCCTTTCCCCACCCCAACCACTGAGGCTTTGCAATGTGTATGCAGAAATCTGTCACCTTGATCTTGAGGCTGTCCCTGAAGTTGGTCATGAGTGCATGGTCCTTCTGCCTGCTCTCGTTAATATTTTCGATCAGCTCCTGGGCCCTCTTCTTCAGGATCTCGATGCTCGAGTCCAGAGAGGAAAAGTAGGGTCCGGACTTCCCTTCCAGCATCATCAACTGGCGACTGGCACTGGAGGTGGCAATAGAGGGGCTAGAAACCTGACTTCTGAAAGTATAGGAAAACAAGGTCAGCACCAAACTTTTCCCAGAATGGCTGATCTGAATTAGCTCGACAGTGGGAAGAGAACCAGTGTTGTGTGTCTCCCATGGGTAACACTTGGTTATTTCATGCACACACCTGCCCTAAGAGGCAGGGACAGCATCCCTATTCTGTAACTGAGAAAACACACCCAAAGGCACACATCAAATCCACCCAAGTTTCCAGAACAAGGAAATATGCCTGACTCTGAAGCACATGGTCATCTTATGACATCAATTTGCCAGTTTGAAATGAGCATTATACTTATAAATAATTCTATTTATAAATAGTATAGATGCTTTCTTAGATGGCTCTTCCTGTCACCAACCTGCTACATCCTCTTCTAAACATTTTGGGAGATGTCGCAGCCTGTATTCCACCTTGGTCTAGTGTACCTGCATGACTTTGCTCCCACTAGATAAGGCAGCCAGTCAAGAGTTAATTATATTAAAAGTTTTAAAAAATATCTTCACCTGAGGATGCATGTATTGATTTTAGGGAGAGAGGATGGCAGAGAGAGAAAAGAAACATCGATGTGAGAGAAACATCAATCACTTGCCTCCCAAATGTGCCCCGACCAGGGATCAAATGTGCAACCTAGGTATGTGCCTAGACCAGGAAGTGAAGCCACGACTTTTGGTGAAATTTTGGGAAAATGCTCCAACCACACCATCCAGCCAGGGCAAAATATTTTTTAAATGCACAAAAAAAGAGTTAGTAATGTTTGTCCCATACTGTACACATGACTATGATAATGTAATTCAATTAAGTATTGTTAGCCAGTGAAATGGTAAAAAAGTGACAGCTGTCTAATACAGCTAAATTAAATGAATAAAACTAATAAATCTAATTAAAAAACTATTAAAATGGGTGGAGGAGACCATTTTAGATCGGCACAAAGATCATAAAAATCTAAAAGGACACCGTGTAAAGATAATTTTGTCATGACCTGTAAGTTTCCACTTAAAAAAAAATTAGCCCTGGCTAGTGTAACTTAGTGGATTTGTGAATCTAAGGGCTTGTGAACCTAAGGATTGCAGTTTGATTCCCAGTCAGGGTACATGCCTGGGTTGCAGGCCAGTTCCCAGCAAGGAATGCGCAAGAGGCAACCATACATTGATATTTCTCTCCCTCTCTCCTTCCCTTCCTCTGCTAAAGATAAATAAAATTTTAAAAATCTAAAAAAAAAAGGAGAGAGGGGAAGGGAGGTAGAAGGACTAGGAGAGAAATATTGCTCTACTGCCTCTCACATGCCCCAACTGGGCATGAGCCCTGACTAGGAGTTGAACTGGCAACATTTTGGTTCACAGGCCAGTGCTTATTTCACTAAGCCACACGGGCAAGGGCTTACTTTTTTTTAAAAAACAAAACTGGGAACTGCAGGCAATGCATTATTTATTTTTTTTAATATTAAATTTTATTTAGTTACTTTTCAAGTACATTTTTTTTTATCTATTTCTCCCAGGCAATGCATTATTAATGAGTGTTTTGAAAAAGTTGCAATCTGACTTGCAGACTTATTGCTGTTTTTTTAAAGTTTTTATTTATTTTTTAGAGAGAGGGAAGGGAAGGAGAAAGAGAGGGAGAGAAACATCAGTGTGTTGTTGCCTCTTATGCCCCTCTTGCTGGGGGCCTGTCCTGTAACCCAGGCATGTGCCCTGACTGGTAATCGAACTGCTACCCTTTGGTTTCCAGGCCCATGCTCAATCCACTGAGCCACACCAGCCAGGGTTAGAAGTTGGTTTTAAATTAAGGTAAAATGTTTAAGGTTAGCTTTCTTTCTTTTTTTATTTGTCAGCTCTTTCAATCTTCCAGGCAGCATATCACTGCATTCTGACACCAGGCAGTGGGGCCTGTCTGCTCATCATCTTTACCACATAGCTGAGGACACAAGCTCAGTCTGGTTACTTTCGCTGGGTCACCAGCCAGTCTGTGGCAGAACTGGGTGTGGCACACAGGTTGCCTGTCTCACAGCTCATGTCCTGCTTCCTCTTGGGTCTTCAGTATCCCTCTTGCCCTCTGCGGGCCTTCCAACTCTGAGACTGGAAGTGCCAGCCACCACAGCAGTTCCTGAACACACCAGTTCACACACAGCTATAAAGGCGGCCATGACTGGAAGCCAGTCAGTCACTGCTTACTTAGAAAAACACATCTTGATATTCTGATGCTTTCTTCACAAAACTATTTTTCTTGGCTTTTTCTGAGTTCTTCCTTTTGGCTGAGAACAGATGTATAGTGAAACTGCAGTAAAAGAGAGCCTGGATGGACAGTCATATACATCTACACAAAACTTCTCAGGCCCAAGAATGCCGCTGTGTCCTAGTCCTTGTGTATTCCTTGCCAGTTGCTTCTTGCCTCTGCGTCTTTGCACCTGCTCTGACTCGACCCATGAGACCTAACCAGACCACTAACTCCTTTGAGAAGCTGTCCAGAACCTCTGTGCCTACCTCTGCGTGAACTTGTCTCTGCTCATGTCCCTATCTCCCCAGAGGGCTGGGTCCCATTTATCTCTGCATTCCTATGCAGTGTCCAGAACACAGTAAGTCTTCCACTGTCTGTTGAATGAATGAAGGACACTTTCTTCTGTCACATCTATTCCTTCCTCTTCTGGCTTCCCACACAGCATGCAAGTTTACTGGCCTCCAGGACAAGATGCTGTGTCCACTGCATTTTAAGATGGGAAGGTATCTCCAGCTGAGGCAGATATTTCTACAGCAAACATTTACACCAGCTAAGAAAACAACACACCAATTAAAGGTTCTGTGAGCATTCTTGTCTTGTTTGCTAAGGAATTTATGACCTCTGAGCATATAATTACTCCTCTTCCTTAAGGGGAAGTGAGGCAGGACAGGAGTGCAGACCTGTGAGTGACACAATGCATTTTAACATCCAGACTTTTGTAATGTCTAGATGTATGCGGAGAAGACAGAGTGCTTCCAAAACGACAGATGTACTTTGCCCCATGGTAGAGGAGCTGGGGCACAGGTTCAGAAACCCCTGGCTTTTGACTTCCCTGAAACCCCAAGCACTAACTGCCCTCCCGTTCTAAACCCAAGGCTCCATCACTTCACTCTGGCTGGTGGCCTCAGCCCCTCTTCCCTTCAATTCTGTGTCACACCCACCCACTGAAACCCTACCCTGGCTATCTACAACCAAGTGCTGCCTCTTTTCTCACACTCAGGAACCTGAGTAACACTGGAGAAAATCACAACCCAATAAACAGGGTCACTACAGAGTCCTGCTCTCCAGTCTCAGGGGGGCCTCAGAACTACGGAGTATCCTCTCTGTGCTCTGGTCATTGCTCCCATCAGCCACCTCAAAACATCATTCTCCCATCCCTGACCCCACACTTGCCTCCCTCCCACTGAGCAATACAGAATCTTGCAGGTGAATAACCCCCTCCACTGTCCTCATAAATGTATTCACACCGCCCTTCCTCCTTCCAAACTCCCAACAGGGTGGGAGGGTGAGGTATTCTGGGCTCCCAAATCCATCCCCTGTACTCCACTCTCTTGTGTATTTGACATCTTCCTTTGGCTGGTTGCCCCCCCCCCCCCAGGGTATGTTCATCTTACATTTTATTTTTTTTATTTTTTTTTCATCTTACATTTTAAAAATACAACATACCACCCACACACACCTGACCTCTTCCTTCGGCATCAGTTCCCTTCTGCCAGTCACCTCCCTCTATTCCCCATCACCACCAAGATTCCAGAAAGAGATGCCCACATTTTTCTGAGCACAATTTCTTACCTCCCGTTTGTTTCTTAGCCCATTGCAATCAGTTCTAAAATGAAGCAGCAACCGCCAAGGTCCCTGGTGACACCTGGCAAAAACCTCCCTTGACTTTAGGCAGCAGCTGGTGCTGTTGACCACCCTCCCTGCCATTCCCGACACTGGGTCTCCCTAGGCTCTGTCTTTGGTCCCGTTCTCTTCCCTTTACACCTCCCTGCACACCCTTGCTCCATAGCCAGCCCCATATATCCTCCCTGCTGACCTCTCCTGCCAACCCCTCCTCTAATAATGTACATGTCATTCCTCAAAAGCCCACTTGTAGTCGGGAATGTGCCAGAAGCCCCTTTCCCTGAGTCCTGCCTCTTCTAGAAACTCATCTCTGGCTGGGTTATGTACACATAGCACCTACAGTGTCACTGCCTGAACCTCAGTCTTCCTTCTAGCCTTCAGGAGGGCCCAGCCAGGCTTCATTCATCTTTATAAACCCATACCTACTCATCATGGTAGGAGTAATAAAGGTGTGTCCAATAAAATGAATGACTATCAGGGGCTTTCATTACCATCCACACTTCCACATCTCCCTAACTTATAGTCCCCAGCCCACACCTCTTTTCTAAGCTCCCAATGATGACTTAACAACTACCTCCCAGCCCTCTCCACTTGGCTGCCCCAGAAGCATCTCAAACTCCTCCACAATTGCATACCAAAATAATTTTCCTTCCCTTACCAAAGCCACCTAGTTCCCAAGCCAGAAACTTGGCAGTGAGTCTGGAGCTTGGCTTCTTCCAGTCCTTCCATATCCTGTCATGAAACCTTCTCATTTCCACCTCTTTAACCTCTCTCAAATCTATCATCTCTTCATCTAATCATTTGCAGCCCTGTACCTATCATTTCTCACCTGAGCCCCAGGGATCTTAGAACTGAAACCTGAGCCCTGTCTGGTGTGGTTCAGTGGTTGAGTGCAGGCCTGCTAACCAAAAGGGTCTCCAGTTCGATTATGCATCAGGGCACATGCCTGGGTTGTGGCCCAGGTTCCCAGTTGGGGGTATGCAATGTATCTCTCACACACCGATGTTTCTCTCCCTTTTTCTCCCTCCCTTCCCCTCTCTCTAAAAATAAATAAATAAAATCTTAAAAAAATAACTACAACCTGATGTCCCATTCCTGCTTCCACAGCCTATAAGAGCCACCCCCCCTCCCCCGGCCACAGGAGCAAGTCTAAATTCCCCAGC